GTCACCCTCAGAGGGAAGAAGTTCTTCCTCATGTTCAGCTGGAACTTCCTGTGCTTCAGTTTGTGCCCATTGCCCCTTGTCGTGTCGCTGGGCAGCACTGAACAGAGTTTGGCCCCATCCTCTTGACGCCCACCCTTGAGATATTTATAAACATTTATTAGGCCCCCTCTCAGCCTTCTCTTCTTCAGGCTGAACAAGCCCAGCTCCCTCAGCCTCTCCTCGTAGGAGAGATGCTCCAGCCCCCTCATCATCTTTGTAGCCCTTGTCTTGTCTCGCTTGGATCTGGTAACGTGAAGCACAGCACATGCCGTCATCTACCTGCCTGCTTCTTGTGTCGGAGGCCACATCTGCAGTACTTCAGCAGATCTCTTGGGCTGCTTCTGCTACCTTGCAACTGCATGCCAGAGAGGCTGTTTCTGAGCGTGACCTGCATGGAATGTGGCTCTACTTGTGGACCAGTGTCTGAGGGCCTTGGTGGAGATGGCAGTCCTCTGAGATTACACCTGGTGGTCTCTTCCTTCCCGCACATGCTGGAGCAGGGCTCAGGATATGGGCAGGTAAATGCATCTTTTGCAGCTGCAACTCTTGAGAAGGAAAAGGTGCTCTTGTAGGAGGGATTTGGCTCTGTCTCTGCTCACCACGCAGTCAGGTCCTGCTGGGGTGACCTAACAGGCTCATAACTTTTGCGTACATGTGAAGAGTGTCCTGGTGGTGCAGAACTGCCCCAGGTGCCCGCTGCTGAGTATGACCCTCATAGGGTCATACTACGAGGGTATGTGCCCCCTCCCACATGGTGTGCTCATTCACTACCTGGGGTGGGCTGATCTCAGCCTGGTCTCAGCGGAAGGCTGGAGCCCCAAAGACAGCTAATGGCAGAAGCCTCCAGTACCTTCTCATCCTGTGTCCCTGTATTCTCACCCCTGCTTAATATGATGAGCAAGGAGATCTCGGCTTGCCTCAAGACACCCAGGACCTTGCCACCCCCATGCAAAGGCTTTCCTGCTTGGCCTGTCCATGGCCTGGTGGGACTGCTGGTGGGTTTTCCTTAGGGTTGTGGGGCAAGATGCACATGGAAAGCAGGCATCTCTGGTCCCTTTGCAAGCCTGCACCTGGATTGAGATGAATGTGTGGGAAGGTGCCCACCTCTCTGGTGAGGGGAGAGGAGTCCTAGGACCCAGATTTCCAACCCTGGGGGCTAGACCAATTGCTGGAGCAATGGGTGGGGTGAGGGCCATCACTGGGGTTTGCAATGGCTTGAGCCTGGCTGTAATACCGAGTAGCTTTCTGCCTCCTTTCATCTGTGCCTTATTCCTTTTCCTGCTGGGTGTGGACTACTCCAGCATAAAAATAACACAGCAGAAAGCTGCACATGGGTTTTTGTTTGGTCTTGCTAAAGGCAGATATGTTTGCCTTAACAGCGCTCCTTGCTGAGCCCCAAGGCAAGAACAGCTGCCTTCAGGCGGGCAGCGTGACAGATCTCCTTGCAAAGGTGATGAGCCAGCAAGGGCTTTCCAGGCAGGAGCAGCGAAGATTTATTCTCCTGAGAGAGCTGGGATGCCAAGACAGTGCTGCGAAAGTGAGGCGCAGGAGAAAGGCCACCGCTGCTCTCCAGGACAATATTTTCCTTGGCTTACAAGGAGGGGACTGATGTCCTTGGGTGTGTTGGCAAAAGGGAGGCAGCTGTAGCCTGGAGGTTACAGGCAGCCAGGAAGATTTCTTTGCAGCGAGGGAAGACTGGGGTCCCGGGCCAGATGAGGAAACTGCTTCTGGGGCTTTTGCAATGGAGGTTGGGGCAACCCCTGGAGATTTCCCAGGGTGGGAGTGACCGGTAGAAGTTTCCTTAGCAGGGAATGGAGAGTGATGGAGCTCCTGCTGGAAATGGCTCCTTACTTTAAAGTCAAAATAGAACATCTGCAAAATAAATGAAAATGTTTTTGTGTCTAAAAGAAGTAGTCAATGCTCCTTAAATTCCCGTAGAAAGCATTAGCTGGAGGGGGAAAACCAGAGTGCTATAGGAGCCATACCCAGGGTTGAAGTTCTCCTGGGAAGGGCAAAGAATTAAAAACCTACTGATGTCATATTAGAGGAGCCTGGAAGACCTCTTGGCAGTGCTGCGATGGTGGGGCAGACCTCCAAAGAAGGCGGCTGGTGAGAGGGGCTGAGGAGCCCTCCATGAGGAAGGACTGGTGGCACTGCCTGCAGCTGCGGTGGGAGTCCTGGTACCTGAAGCTGGAGTTGCCTGGCTGGAGGCTGTCATCCCTTTGCCTTATGCAGGCAGCTAGACTTTGAGGACCTGGAGGGAGGTTGTTCCTACTGGGATAAGTCTGGTAAGTCATGTCCATTGTTGGACTGGGTCCTGTGCCTCACCCAGGATGATCACGAGTTCCTGTTTCCCACTGTGGGTCCCCGCTCTGCTTGTGCTGCCCATGCCACCTGCCCAGGCTCCGCTGTCCCGTCTCTTGTTGCACGCTCACAGCATCCCATCAGGAAACCCCTAAACTCACCTCTGCCTCTTGGTTTGGGTCCTTCGTCCTAAGATTTCCAATTGCCTGGTGCTGCTGCCTCCTCCCACCCTGCAAGAAGTGGCCGAGCTGTGGCTGAGGGGATTTGCCTTTTGCAGGCACAAAAGTACAACCTGAGCTGGCTCATAAAACCATACCTTTGAGCAATGCCACAACTCGTTGTCCTGATCCCGGCAAGACAGAGCAGCACGGCCAAGTTCTGCACGCTGCCGAGGCTGGTGGGGCTGTCCCTGCTCACATCGTTT